ATTATTTTTTGGCGAGTTTTGTCACTGCAAGAAACGAAAAAGCATAAAAGCATATTCATTACAAATTAAAAAAGTATCGTTTATTGAGTTCTTATAAATTTGGTAGCCTCGAAAGACAGTATCACACAGCATGTGGGAAACACCACAGAGGATCAATTACGATAAGTGGTTGAACACATTGTTCATCGCCTTCGAGTTTTACTCCTTCAGAATGGAGACTACATAAAGCAGTATTCACTGCATCACTAAGGTCTCTTTACAGAACAAATGTTTTGTAAAAATAAAATGTTTGTTACTCGTAGTGCCAAAAGTGCCTTAGTAGCAAATTTTGGTAGTAACTTTTTTTTTTTATGAAAATTTAAAGTTGCTTAGCTTTTAAACTTTTTAAATTTTTTATAAATGATCTATTGAATATAATGTAAACAACAACTTAAAAAGAATAACAACTAATTAGTAAATTAATTTCATCATTAATTCATAACATGTCTTTTACATTTTTAATAGTAAGATTAATTCGATATTTTTATAACAAACTTTTACGTAAAAGAATCGCACAGCATAATATTTAAATTGTTATAATAATAGTTACATGTTTATACATCCGTCGCACACAGACTATAGGCTAGAAACAGTTTTTTCCGTAGCACATGTCAACTCTTGATCAATCATTGCANAGTTTAACAATAGCTACTGTCTAATTAGTTATTTCCTGTGCTAGATTTTTGCTTAAATCGCATTTATCACGCATCTTAGCCTAAAACCTAGCCATTAAGAGCAAATATTCTAAAAATAATAATAATAATTGAAAATTTAAATAGGTTATCTAATCCGATAACTTCATATTCAACCAAAAAATTCCCAGATAAAAATGTTATTTAAATTATATCAATAGTAATAAATAAATTTGATATTGTCACAAACCCATTTCTAACTGTTTGAATACGAAAAAAAAAAACTTTATTTCAAAATATATTTTTCATCCTAACAATTACACAATTATAAACAGTTTTAATTACTCGTAAAATAGCGTAATAATAATTATATGAGACGAATTTTAATGTAATTTTTCTTTTAATTCGAGGAAGTTCATCTCTATAAAGAGATGAATACTCATTATACACACGTTATTGCGTGTTCAATTAAACCTTTTACGTGATGCTAAACAGGAAATTGATTCAAAAGAGATAAGTATCATCGCAATTTAAAACTTTATATAAGAATATGAACCTATTTCGCTCTTAAAATATATTTTTACATATAAAATGCTATTTTAAATAAGTTTTTTTATGTCAAAAAATAAATAAAATAAAGGTAATTATATCATATTACAAAAACTTTTACCCATTCACTCCCGAGAGTTACGCTCACCACTGAAATGTAAAGCTCTAGTGAATAGAATGAAGGACGTCAGAATAACAATAATACTATATATATTACATTTTAATTTAGAACAATGACCAAATCGTTTTAGATTTTTCTAGTTAATAGATATTCCATAAATGTTCACTAGTTAGTTAAACTTGATAACTCTAAGCAGGTTTCTCGAGTATTGTTACTTCAACTGATGTTTTCATCAAATGATATAACTATCAAAGCATATTTTTTTCTAAATATTTTAGTATTGTACAAAGTTACGAGAACTTTTATCGGCTGAAATATTAATGCAATACATATTCTAAAACTTTAAATTTGTAATATAACGCACAAAATGGAATCGTTTATCTTATAGGGACTCCTAAAATATAAAGTTATAACGAATATAATACGCATTTATAATATTAATGCGTAATTAATCAGCTGTTAACATTACTTAAAATAGGCCTATATACTTTTGATTTCAAAATTATTCAAGCAAAATCTTAAAATAAATGATAAAACTATGTTAAACTCTGTTTTGAAACAAGCTTATAGCAAATTCAAATTAAGAAGATTGATCCTGTTTCCGTTGAAAGCGAAACATTCCAACGAATTATCTGATCAAACGATTCACGAAGGACATGGAACGTTATTTAATTCAATTCGAAAACGATTATAAAGACTTACCATGGTTGAGAATGAATTAAATCAAGAGTACTTTTACCTTTAAGTAGTTTGGCAAGTTTTTGCCAGGTAATTCACTTCATGATGGAAATACGATTGTTATCTTGCAGGAAGAGGAATTCCGTTATCTTTAGTTGTTGATAGATCACCGCCACTCACCTTAGACGTGGCAAATGTTCGTTCTCGTAAAACATTATTTATTTCGACTCCTGTTTCTTACAAGGTTGACTTGGTTGTTCTGCAAACAAAATAAAAATAATAACAATAAAAAAAAACTCTCATGTTAGATGGTGCGTGATATTTTTCCTTGAACTTATAGCGTTTCAAAATGTTATATTTGCTATTTCATGCCATATAATAGAATGAAAAAGTGAAACATTTAATATTATTTCTAATCTAATTAATTGCAAAATAATTTCTGGAGGAATGATAGCAATTAAAATTTGAAATGTGATCTTAGCATAAATGAATGTGAATTTGAGTGTAAAAATTGGAGGGGGAAAAAACCTGGTATTATGGAGTCAAATTTCCAATATAAATCTCTTGAAAGTCAGCAACTCACGTTATCTTTTTTAAGACTGACTTCTATAGAATTGAATGACAGGATGCATGACGTAATATTGGTATCATTATCGACTCATCTTACTCCAAACATCGAATTTATTGTTCGGTTTTTTATTTCCACTATCGTAATAACTATGATTTCACGTTAAATTATTTAGTCTAGAAAACAATGAAAAATTATAGGATGTGTAGTACAGGAATATTTATTATATCATATCAATATATTTACTCCTTTTACTTTCAGTGAATCAAATAATCGCAGTGACAAAAATATTCTTATATTATCTAACCTATTTACAATTTTCCAAGCACCTAAAAAGCAGATTTTATGAAATTTTTTTTCTATATAACACAATTAATTATAAAAATATCGCTTTATAATTAACTTTCCTTAAATACGAGTATATATCTACAAATATCGAATAGATTTATTTAATTATTACAATTTTTTTAATGTAACGCAAAGAGAAATTAATATAATAGTCTATTAATTTATCTTTATGTAAACAATTCCGTGTATAAATAAAATTTGATAACAATTGTTTCGAATTATAATCTTGTATTGATTTTATTTCTTGAATTTTATGTTTATCTTAAAATAATTTATGTTAAACATACATTTGATATTTTATTTCTTCAGTAGTTTGTCATCATCATCTGTTTGGAGGATTCTGATTAAAAAAATATTCAGTACAGAAAAATATTTTAGATGATGATACTTTTTTAATGATTTTTGAAGAATTTACCCCAAACATTTTTCAAATATCATAATTATTGTATTCATCTTATACGGTAGAACACTGATGATGATAATAATGATCACAAAAGTTATGATAATCATCATATCAAGGTCATGATGATGATGATCATCGTCATCATTATGATCATTATAACCTACAGCAGTCGCTTGATATAAAGCAATCTTCGGGAAATTATAAATATCTTTTTATTGAAGTTTCTATTATAAAAAATTCATTTTAAAAACTGTTATATCCAAACTGTCAATTTAATCAAAATATTAAATTAGGTTTACGTTTAATTTATATTTAATATAGATTAAATACAGATAAATTCATAACTAATGTAAATTTATATTTCAAATATTTAAGACTTTCTGTTAACTGTTACTCTTCAATAACATAGCCTAATCGTAGTTGATGAACATTACAGTATGATTTACGGTATATTCAGGTAGCTGTTTTATTGAAAATATGTTATATGCCATTTAACAGTGTTATTAAAAATATTTTAAAAAAAATAAATTATTTTTTTTATTTTCAAATAATTATGTTCGAAAATTATAAGCAGCTTAATTTAACATATTGAATACTGACGCTTATATTTTACACCAAAAATAAGAAAAACGATAAGAAAAATTAAGAAACATTTTTCATTAAGAAATGAGCAAGGCTCTTCTCAGCTCTTACACAGGTGACTTTTAATTATATCTAATGAAAATTTTGCGTAATCTCAAGATCATCGACAATGATCCATTTTTCCCCAGAATTTAGTTTTTAAACTGTATTATTTCAAATACAATCTGCTTTTAAGATAGTAATAATTTTGAACATTTAACTCTTTGTTTATTTTTATCACAAGTAAATTAAGAATCAAAAATTTTATTCTATTTTGTCAGTAAAAAGTTTCGCTGAATCCAAGCATTCGCTCACATAACAGAAAAAAGTAAATCGTTAATTATCAAATGTCGTTGGAAATAAAAAATTGTGTTATTTATATGTAAAAATTTCAAATAAAAGTTTAAAAATCCTAAATTAGATTAGAGTGGAGTATTATTTACATATCCTATTATATTTAATGTTATACACATAATAATAGATCCACACAAAAATAAAATTTCTATTGGACGACTGCTTAATACTTTTAACTTTTCTTAATCTTTTACAAGTCACAAGACTCTTATAATAACATATTATGTAAAAACGAAAATTATATCGAATAATCAATAGTTACAAGAATGAAAACTGAACAAATGTAAAAACTGGTATTACAAAAAGATAGCTCCACCAACAGAATCATAAAAATTAATTAGTATAATATTTTTTTCTTCTGTCATCAAAATCAATTCATAAATTGTTTTTGGCATTCCATTAGTTTGATGTAAAAAATAATTTATGAATTGACTTTCTTCGTGTAATGCGCGTTGATGGCTTTCCGCTCGGACAGAATTATCTCTTTCAGTTTACACGTGGAATTGCATTACTTTCTATTTGCATATAGGCTATAGCTGTTGCGAATGTTTCCAATAGATTTTCCATGGGATCTCAGGAAACTAGTAATTAATGTGAATGCTATTTTCTAAAAACCAATCGCAGATCCGCTTTGTTGTGTGAATCGGGATTTTGTTTTGCTGCATGAAGCATGGTCCACAATTTCTTTTGCAAATGGCAGCAGTGATGGAAAAATGCAGTTTGATAATTTTGTTGCATTCATGCCATTAGTTAAAAAACATAATACTTGTATTTATTTTTCTGTGCTACCCGAAGCCTTTCCAGATCATCACAGAACCATCTCTACCTTGTATGAACGGCATTGGGGTGGAAAAAAAGTGGGCTTTAGCCCACCCAACCGTCCACCCTGAATTTATCCAAGTCTATCCTATACTGACCATAATTGGTTTTTTTACAATATAGTGTCGTTCGCCAAATAATTTTACCTTCTTAACATACTAAACTTGACGGCCGGGTGGCCGAGCGGTCAAGGTGGCAACCTGGGGCAAATTTTTCGTCAGGTAATCCAATTGGCTGTGTCGGCCCCCGTCCCTCACCACCTGGCTGCCCCATCGTGGGCCTGGCCGAACTCATAATGGATTTGCTAAAAGAGGCCCTCTTGGTGCCCACAGGACAGAACGAGTAAAAAATAATGTAAAACATACTGAACATGTTAATTATAATTTTGAGTTATTTGAATTAATCAAAAACATGGCTTTAGGAAGAGGTCCAGCCATGATTGAACCACTTTTTGCTGCCAATGTTACGATATTTTTAATTTTAATTTTACGCCAATTTTAATTTCAAATCAACCACTGGCATGTGAAACTCAGGCAAACCAAAGGGAGAATAATAAAGGGAAAAGAAGATCAATATCTTAGAGACCACTCTCTCCTTTTGGCTGGACCACTTTTTCTCCCCTTCCTACGGCCCTGAAAAAGCATATTATATGAAAAAAAAATGTTTTTAGACATTTGAAGTTCAGTAATTGAACCTCAATATTTTGTAGTTCACAAACTCCTAGCAGACTCCCACTGTTTATGTAAAAGTCCTTTTGATCAGTTTGGTGATAACCTTTTGGTGATTCACATTTTCATCAAAAATGGTGACAGCAACAGATAAACGTGCATCCACGACAATCAGCAGTTTTGAAAATGTATGCAGCATGCCTCCTCTCGTTTTTTTTTTTTTTTAAATTTTGCTATATTAATAGGATGTAAGGAGTAATTATCCAAAGCCAACCAGGGACCCACTGGTAAGCTCCAGTCAAGAGTTACAACATCTGTTTCGAGGGCCTACTAAAAGCGTCACCAGTCCTTTCGGTAGGCCTTTTGTCCAATCTATAGTTATGGAGGAAACCTGTATTTTAATTTAAAGTTTTATTAAAACTTTAAATTAAAATACAGGTTCCCTTCAGATCGCTCTTAAAGTTTTTGCTTTAAATTCCTTATAGTTGTTATTGATTTTACCATAATGATAATTATGTTTTATACAACAGCCCACTAGTGGCTAAGCGGTTCCGTTCCCTGAGCACTGGGAGTTCGGTCGTCGGAACGCAGCTCGCCAGGATGGGCCAGCTACATGGAGTTTTCCGGGATTTTTCCACGTCTGTAACGCCTGAATAGTGGCCAGTTATCCTTAAAAAGACCTCCCGGAAGGCATTCCGCCTAGACAGATTGCCCAAGTGTTGCGTTGTCGTAATTTAAATTAACTAAACAAACAATATTTTATATAACAATTTTTTAAAATGGGCCTATGTAAATAACATTCACTTATAAATTAGAAAAAAAAAAAAAACTTTGACGACATGGAGTATTAGTTAATTTTTAATTTGCAAGCTTATCTTTCCTCAAGTTAGAAACAATTCTGTTACAATTCTGTTCAAAAGATGACATTAATTTAATGATAGTAACATTACAAATCAATTATTAATTAGCAAAATTAAGTTATAATCAGTGAAATTAATTCCAGTGATGTGTTAAATTGAAAAATCTAGTATAGTAAACAGTGGCTTTATCTTGAATACTCTGTTACATAAAATAAATATTACATATTCGTTTTAATAATAATTGAAATTGAAGATAAAATAAAAACATTATAGTTTCTGAAGAAAAAAATTATTTTAAACAGTCATTCTATCTCAAATCCACAATCCTTGTATATGATGAATTTGTTTCAAAAATTAAAATAGAATTTATAAAATTGATTTATTGTACCAAAAAGATAACAATAGCCTTGATCATCACAATTGAAAATATCCCAAGAATAAAATTCCATTCATTATTAAATAGCAAATCTTAGAAAATAGAGGGTTTGGTTAAAAAGAAATATAAAACTGTGAGTTCCTGTAAAAAATATTCCATATGAATAATTTTAAAAAAAATGAAATTTTATTTATGCATTCATATTTAAGAAAATATTTGATTATTTTTGTATTACATTTTTTAATTTGTAAATATCTATATATTCAGTAAAGTATTTCATGTGAATTATAAAAATAAAATATCATGCTGTTATTAACTGTATTATATCATAAAATTAAATAAGCTACATTATGTTTAAATTCTTAACATTGAATAATAATGAAATTATGTTTAAATATATGATAATTGTTTCTAAAAAAATGTCAAATGTCAAATAAATTATTTTTAAATAAGCTTAATACTTTATTGTAGGAAGATATAAAATCATATTTTATTCATAAAATAATATCAATCATTTTTGTTACTAAAAGCATTCAATTCTATCCAATAACTGCATAAAAAAATGGAAGCCTTTAAAGAAACATACAAAAAGTTATGCCGAAAATATGAAATTGAACCACAAGACCTTATTTTAGGTTATCTAAAAGGGTGAGCTCTTCTTATCTGGTCTATTCTGAAACCGGATAAACTATCATTTTATTTTAATACTTTCCTTAAAATCATTACTAATTAATGATTATTTGAATATCATTATATTAAAGTATTTTTACATGAAATATTTTATTATTAAAACTTAATTATTTTCAGCATTGGAGATGAAAGAATTTCATTAGATTTATCAACATGCGCTCTTTCAGCATCCACTTGTTTTATTCTTGGTAAAATATTGGAAAATGATCTTTCAGTTACTGATTTGTGTTTTTGTAATTGCATGCTACAATGTAAAGGTAAATGATAAACATTACTGATATTCTAATATTCAAATATCAGATATTATAATATGTTCTAAAAAATTTATCATTATCCAGACATTTACTGATTTAACAACAATATTTATTGAAAACTAACAATGAGTTTCCATAAACTTTTTGCACATACCTTTCAAAATTTCTGTTATTAGTTATTCAGTGTACTTTTTGCAACCAGTAGCTCACTCAGGAATCTTGGGAGAAGTCTAGTTGTATGGGAAACATTTTTAATGCAGATTCAATAAAATTCCCATCTTATGTGACCACTAATTCATTTAGTAGTATTGAAATAGAAGACATTAAACAATACTGTATAAATAAAAAATGAATTTTAATTAGGAAAGGATTTTTGAAAAATTTTCTAATATTCCCCCCTCCCATTTTTCTTTGGAGTGCTGGGACCCCTTGGTTCTCCCTCTGGGAGTATGACTGACTCATATAAAAAGTTTTTCCTTGGGTTGTGGTTTTTTTTGAAAAACTATTCCTTATTCAAGTTATGATCTGAAGTAAGAAATATTTTGAAAAATTTTAATTTTGATTAAAACTTTCAAAGGAATCCTTAACTGTTAGTGTTCTTAATATTTGCAATATTTGATTAATGTGGTTGTATAGTTCTGAACAGGTCATTTTATCAATAAAAATATGGTGGACCATCCTTAAATTGCAATATAATATAAATTAAAATGGTTGTCTAGAATGTCTAAAGAAGACTAGTATTCATGATTTTGTCTAAAAAACATTGATCCAAGGTCTATCATGAAGACATCATGTTGACTTATCAATCTTCAGTTCTGAGATAATATGTTATGAAAATAGCATTTTTCAGACATTTGCCATAGTCAAGGATGTCTATAAAACTGGTAAACCAAAAGTTGACTTATTATTTCAAAGCACAGATGTCCAGAGGTCTGTGGTCCTTATGCAAGATAATGGTTGTCTTTTGTCAGTAAAATTAATAATAATCTGTAATAGCTTTACACTTTGTAATCCAGTTTACACAGCTGTTGAGTGTATTGTACTGTATTAGTATTTGATAGTAAACTGATGTTGATTATCATTATCACCTTTGAAGAAGCAAAAAATTGCAATAATGATACAGCATTTAGAATGAACTTCTCTTGGAGATCTATCATGCTGCTTCACTATCATTTTTCTATATCTTTCTGTCTAATTTCCATGCCATACTGTTCTCATTTACAAATTACATTAATTAGTAATTATTTGACTTTAAAATCTGTAGAACTATACTGATAAAATGTCACTGTGACAACTCATCATTCCATCTTGAAAACTGGTTAAAGAGTTTTGAACAAGATAACTTATATTCTTTTGATCTAACCCTTGTTTGCTAGAATGTCTTTCATATTTACATATTTAGAGCTGTCCTGATGTATGATTCTAATAAAAAATATGGAGAATTATCAATGAAAGAATATATGGATATTAATAATGTAGTAATACACTAGAAATTTGATTATCTAAAACTCATATATCTGAAATGCTAAAAAAAATAAGTATAGCCAGTACTTGTCATAGAATATAATACAGAGACTAAACTCTCCACATAACTAGAAATCATTATGCAAAACTAGATCATATATATACAAAACTAGATCATAATTCATAACATTAATTATTTAAGTTAAATTTTGAACAAATTAATTTGCAATCAAATATAATAATTGTATTATAGTTTGTATTGTTCATGAAACTTTAAGTGCACAGTGCTTAATATACCCAAACACAAAAACAAGTTTCTGGATTATTCAAAATTTCACTTATCCAAAAGATCTGTAGTCCAATCAAGTTCTGATAGACTGTATATATTTTTAAAATTTCAAATATCAATTTTTGTTAACTTTTATAAAATAAAAATAATATTTTTGTAATTGCTCTGATTTTGTTTTTAGGAATAAAAGCTATATTGGATGGACTTTGCTTAAATGGAGCTGTGCAACATTTACATCTCAAAGTAAATTTTAATTATGGAGATATATCAATACTTGAAAAATAAAAAAAAGGTTTTAATTACTTTAAAAATGATTTATTTATAGGGAAATGGTTTGAAAGGAGCAAATGCTGAAGATATAGGCAAATTGCTAACATATAATAAAGTACTACACCAGTATTAATACTTTCCTTAAAATCATTACTAATTAATGATTATTTGAATATCATTATATTAAAGTATTTTTACATGAAATATTTTATTATTAAAACTTAATTATTTTCAGCATTGGAGATGAAAGAATTTCATTAGATTTATCAACATGCGCTCTTTCAGCATCCACTTGTTTTATTCTTGGTAAAATATTGGAAAATGATCTTTCAGTTACTGATTTGTGTTTTTGTAATTGCATGCTACAATGTAAAGGTAAATGATAAACATTACTGATATTCTAATATTCAAATATCAGATATTATAATATGTTCTAAAAAATTTATCATTATCCAGACATTTACNAAAAAAAAGGTTTTAATTACTTTAAAAATGATTTATTTATAGGGAAATGGTTTGAAAGGAGCAAATGCTGAAGATATAGGCAAATTGCTAACATATAATAAAGTACTACACCAGTAAGTTATAAATTAAAAAGAATAGAAACTTAATTTTAAATATTCATGATTACAATATATAATATTAAAATGTTCTCTTATAGAAATTAATGAAAGATAATACATTTTCATAAACACTATAGAGTATTTAAATAGATTCAAAATAAGTTTTAAATATATTATGTAAAGAATATTGTGTTTTTAAATTAAATTATTGTTTGTTGAATTATTCAAGTAATATAGAATATAATTTTGTTTGATGAATATTAAAATATCATTTTAACATAAAAATCCAAACTGTAAAATAAAGATTATATTTAGATTGAAGATACAATTTCATTTTTATTCATATTGAATATTTGAATTTCAAAATTATTTTATTCTAATATTAATAAAACTTATAATACTCTAAACCAGTGTTTCCCAACTTGTGTGCGACAAGAGTGTCTCACGTATGTTGATGAAATATTAAATAGTTTTTAGAATTTTGAATAAGCTCTTTTTTTTTTAAATTTCATTTATCTTTTATCTTTTTTGCCACTGGCTGACAAAAGGGAACAGTTTGCTAAAATGCTAATTGTTGCAAAATGTGCAGTATAAGCATACAAAAGTTGCATATGTTTTTGCATCTGCCAGTATACTAACTCTTTAGAGCTTCTATAAATGTTGCAGCTTATCAGCTTAAACACCAATATTAGTTATTAATGCATTGATTTAAATAGTCTTTTTATTTTTATATAATATTTGTAAAATTGTGAGGTTTTTGTTTTTATAAGTTTAACTTCCTTATTATCAAAACTTTTTAAATCAACTCTAATGTATTATAAATTTTAACAGATAATAAAATGGACAAGTTTTTAATTAGAAAAGAATTTTAAACATTTCTATTTTAAAAATTACAGTGTGTTGCAGGAATCTAATTAAATTCAATGTGTTGCTAATCCAAAAAGGTTGGGAAACACTGCTCCAAACAACATGATTTGACTTATTAAATTATATTTTGTATAATATTAAAAATATCATTCAATTTTTTTTCTTTTGCTTTTGTTATTGTAAGTTTAAACATAAATTTTTAAAAAATTTATTGGAAAAGTATCCATATTCTTGTTTGTATTATTTTTGAATTTTATATTTATTTTCAGATTATCATTGGAATGGAATTCTTTAGGAAAATCTCAAGATGCATTTACATTATTTTGTTCAGGCTTAGCTGTGAATAAAACTTTAAAAGTAAAATATTTATATATATATTTATTTATTCTTCTAAACTTATAATTAAGTTATCAATAACAATCCACAGAATCTTTTTATAATGGTGTTGTCTCCGTAACAAACTTCACTAACGTTTTCAATCTCCACCGAGGTCTTCAGGTAGTGACTAAACGGTGTCTCCTCTTGACCATTGGAACGATGATGCCCGAGATGTAAATAATGTGCACATCGCATTTCACCCCTCTGCTTGTCTTTAAAGTTGATCAACTTTAAAGACAGAGAGACCATCGCGCAGGCATGGAGATACTTATTCGAAGAATTCGAACTGGGACAAGCAGAGGGGTGAAATGCGATGTGCATATTATTTACATCTTGGGCATCATCGTTCCAATGGTCAAGAGGAGACACCGTTTAGTCACTACCTGAAGACCTCGGTGGAGATTGAAAACGTTAGTGAAGTTTGTTACGGAGACAACACTGTTATAAAAAGGTTCTGTGGATTGTTGAAAATGTGGAGGAGTGGTGGAAAGATGGAGGAGGTCGAAAATGTTAGTGAACTTTGTTACAGAGACAATACTGTTATAAAAAGGTTCTGTGGATTGTTGAAAATGTGGAGGAGTGGTGGAAAGATGGAGGAGGTCGAAAATGTTAGTGAACTTTGTTACAGAGACAATACTGTTATAAAAAGGTTCTGTGGATTGTTGAAAATGTGGAGGAGTGGTGGAAAGATGGAGGAGGTCGAAAATGTTAGTGAACTTTGTTACAGAGACAATACTGTTATAAAAAGGTTCTGTGGATTGTTATTACTCAATGCAGTGTTAAGATTAGAAGTTGTTTTGTGTAAGTTATTAATATAAGTGGTATCAGTTATGTTCAACAAACCAATAATTAAATAAAAATATTGCATTATAAATATATCAGTAGTTATACATTTTTGTTTCTTCTCTTTTTTCTTAGATTATATTTGTAAAATAATTCATAAATAGATTTATACTATTAAGAATACTTTTCTGTTAATGGGATGCCAACCAATATGTACAGTACAGCAACAGGTAAGTTCAAGCTCTGAATGAGGGGTTTCACACCACCCCAGAATTGTTGACCCTTCACGAGATATTTGCCTCCAAAATTCAGTTTTTAACATGTATCAGTATACTGCCTATTCTACATGCTTTGCATGTAGACATGTGCTTCGGTGCTTGCTATCACTCTCGCCTCAGTGCCTGGATGGGCAAGCCTCCACACCTCCCTAAAACTATATAACATCAAGTACTCCACAAACGGTCAAGTGGGCTACTCGAAGCTGGCACAGTCATGGGCTAAATGGTTAAATGCAAGTCTCAGTGGACACTGGTATCGCGTATTGAATTAAAGTTACAATTGGCGTCCTGTTAACAGAAAAGGAACCTATTAACTAATTTTTGTTCCAATTCATGCTGATTTAATTGTATTGAAATGATTTTAAAAAGTTATTTTATAATTATTAAAAAGTGAAAATTATCATTTTCTTCTTTAAACATAGGTGTTAGATTTGAGAAGTAATCTAATTAATAATGAAGGTGCAATTGCACTTGCTGGTGCTCTTTCTAAAAATGAAGGATTAAAATCTATAGGTAAGAATATTTTATTTTAAATGTAAATATTTAATAGTTTTAATTTGATCAAATAATAGATTAACTTATCTCTGTAATCAACGTTACACTATCTGGAACCTGTGACCGGCACTCGACGCGTATATACTATATATCACTGTTGACAAACGTTTTCAAGCAATCCCTTTGCTCTTCTTCAGGTCGACTGAAATTCCCCGGACGGAGTGTATATTATTTGTTGGGATCAGGTGTCGGTTTCGAGGGGGTGGGTCGTTTCTGGCATGTGCAGTTGTATGTTGGGGGAGGAAGCGGTGGGTTGGCATCCAACAGTGATTGCCAGGCCAGAGACAGGGTTAGCTCTTCTTTCCAGTTAACACAGGTGGCTAGCCAGCCGGTGTTGTAGATAGCCGTGGCCTCTAGCCATCTGAAATGCTGTTGGTGGGGCGTGCTGATGATAATAGTAGCTTTCTCGAATTGTACTTCGATTTCGGGATCTGACGCATATGTGGCCAGGGCTGTGGTTAGTCTCCGGTGTCGGATATCCGCTTGGTGTTCACGCAGGCGAGTGTTCAAGGAATGTTTGGTTGAGCCGATGTATAGTAAGTCTGAGTTCTGTCTGTTGTCTCGGAGTGGAATAGAGTAGATTCCGGGGAGTCTGTGCGATCGGGAGGGTCTTTATCATTCCATAGGATACGGAAAATTGTGGGTCATCTTCTGTACGCCAATCGTATCCCATGTTCTCTGGCTATCCTCTTATGCACAGTCTTGAGGTACGGGTTGAATGTGATGGGGACCTGTGTTGGGCTGTCCTGCTGTGGGTCGGCGACATTTCTTGCAGTTAGGGTATGTTTCTGGCGTTGGTATCGTTCAACTTAGTTGAACGATATCAATCGTTTCTGCTATCTTGAGGTACGGGTTGAACGTTCAACCCGTACCTCAAGATTGTGCATAAGAGGATAGCCAGAGAACACGGGATACGGTTTGTCAACAGCGATATACAGTATATATGCATTGAGCGCCAGTCACAGGTTCCAGATAGTGCAACGTTGATTTCACCCCGGTGCTGAGAGTAGAGCAGTTCCTATATTATCTCTGTAACTTAATTGGTCTGCAATTTGATAAAAATGTAGACCTATAAATTCCCACTGAAATTCGTCTCTGTCTGTCTTTCCTTAATCTCAAGAACAGAGTTAGATAGATGAAAGAGGAGATCAGATATGGAAACCTTAGGCAGGAGGCCCCAATTAACAATATACAAACTTCCAATGCAAAACAAAGTCATGTTATTTCAATTCAAAAATTTTCCCCTGAATGGAGTTATATAGATGACTGGCACAATTAAATTGCTAAAAGAAAAGTATGATGTACAGGGGCAAGACACTACAGTACTGTACTAATTTGAGATGGAGAGCATATATTTTAAGTTAAATAAATTAAAAATATTATTAAAAATTGCAGCCTGGCATTGTGATGATATCACAATAAACAATTACTTGTTAATTTTAAAAATAAATTTATTGAAAACAATTTTTCTGTAAAATTTAGTAAACTGTTAACTTTAAAATAGTATGATAATTACTATTTATTTCTTATTTTCATTATTTCACAACCAATTTTGCCACATGTTGATTATATATAAAATGAATTTTGTTGGTGTAAAGGGCCATGGTAATTGAAAAGTGAGGGTTTGTGAGACCAAAAAAAAACTGTCTCACATTGGCATGCACTTTTTACCATCATGTTGGTGGAGACAAGATGTAAAACTGTAGGCTGTAAAACATTGTTAGAATAAAGCTCTCTTTTTCAAATGACCAGACTCCTGTCATCTGTTTCCATTTAAAGGAGAAACAACCTACTAGCTAATAACAGTTGGTAAACTTCAGTTTTCTTTTAAGTTGAAATTCATTTAAAAGATAATTTAATTTTACATAATTCATACATGAACTCTAAATTATTCTGAAAATTATTGGGGCTTCTATTAAATGAATAAACATGCCCTTTTTAATTCTGTACTTTAAAACTGATCTTTAAGAATAAACTTTAAATCTGAATATAGTTATACTATACAGATTTACTTTATTTACTTAACATTTTGAATATAGTTTTCCTCCTGAAGCTAATTATCTGTTTCTATAAGATTCTGTGGCAAAGGAAACAATCACTAGAGACAATTTGTCTTTTGTTAGCTTATAAAGTATTCTGAGAATTTTTTTCTAATGCATGATAAACATGAATGTGCTAGTATTAATAGAATCTATGATTTACGATAAATGTAAACTCTACAAAATCAAAAAGTTTTGAAAGCTGGTTGCTTTAATTGTTTGTTTATTATAGCTACAGTAGATGGAAGAAAAATAATTTGTTTTCATGAAGTCTCTCTCCTTATTTCCAGTTTTATGAAACAAAATCACAATAATGTTCCTGGTACAATATTAAGCTAGTTAAATATGTTGGACTAGATGTTGCTTGTCGGAGAGATTAGTAAAAACAAGTTAGACTTGTGTAACTGGTTATATAACAAAGAAACAAAGAATACACAAAGATTACATTGTCTTGACTCACGGAAGGTCAGCACTGAAAAGGGGGAGAGTGAAATAAGGTCACTGTCTCTAATGGCTTTCCGAGGGGTCAACAGTGCCACCAACCTTTTATTACATAATGGAAGAACATTTACAAAACATCGTGTCACAATGCTTTGTACGTAACAATGTTGAATAACATTAGACAATAATTTCGATCGTTGATTCCAACAAAATATAGTCCAATAATTCAAGAAATCATATTTACAAAAGTATGATCTAAACTAGACAAACCTATTATTATTTATCACAAGTAGGGATGTCCTGATATCACAAAAGTATCAATACTGATATCATGAGTAGTTTTAAAGTATCAATATTGGTATAAGTATTGGGTATCAAAACTGGAAATCATGCCAATTGTTTCTACTCAATCTATTGCATTGCCTTCAGTTGTTTTTGCTGCTAAGAAGATACACCTATCCTTCTTTTTGTGCAGTGGATACATTCCAAAGAATTCCATGTAAAAAAATTGCATAAAAAGTACAGTACATGCATCCTGTAGAAAAATGCTGTTAAGTTAGGATTTCAATGGAACAAAAAATAAGCAATTTACAAAAGAACATGAATTTTATTATTTACATACAAAATTTTACATAAATATAGTAAACACAAGGTAGATTAGAAAACATAAAATCAACATACAACATTCTCTGATGTACTGTACATTCAGTACTGTACTCTGCTTAAAAAAGAAAAATTAATTATTGATTTCAACAAAATTTTAACAATGTTAACAAAAAATTAAATTTAAAAATTTTCAAATAAACTTTTTTCCCTGTGTTTAAGAATTAATTGCATAAAAGGAGGATTTTATTTCAAAATTGCGTAAAATGGATCGTGTAAAAAGAGGGATAAAGTACTCATTACAATGAAGGTCAAGTGGGCCCCAGAGCAGCAATTAATGCTTACTCCAGGGAATTGAATTCTGGCTGTGTGGTTCAGAAGTCAGTGTATCAGTCAGTTTACACTTGTATGATATCTTATGTATACAAAAGAAACTCAAAATCTAGTCATATTAATGGGCTTTTTGGGTACTACTATATGTGGAATACAGGTGGATAAGAAATCATTGGTGATGAGGGAAACAGTGTCTTTACATTGAAAGTTCTTTCTTGTATTCAAATTTTACAAATGTCAGTGCATACAGTATATACAAATTGTAGTTCACTTAAACAGCACTGATGATCCAAGTTGATTAATAAACAAAAGTACTACATAATATTTAACTAAATATTTATTTATAAATAGCAATCTGAACTTTAAGCTTATATAGGCTCTAGAAATGAAAGTTAACATAATACATTTATTGATTTTTCATCATTAATATTTTTTTATAAGTTTAACTTAACTGAAGATAGTGTAAAATTCCATTTTGGTTTTGATTTGGCTGCAAAATCTGGCTTCAGTTGGACTTTACCTATCTATGAAAAATATAACAATACCAGATTCGATATCTGAGGAAAAGTATTAATATTGGACGAAAACTGTAGAGTACAAAAATACTCAGTATCAAAGGAAAGTATTGATACAGTATCAGTATCAGGATGTCCCTAATCACAAGACCATGGTTTAGATCTCATTATCTGGCCTGAAAAAGTTATCAAAATATTAATATAATTTAATAGATAAAAGATATGCTTAATATTATTTCTGTTCTGTATGACAGCATATTCTGAAACTTTTCAATAATCATATTTGTAGTAGCAATATAATGCATCTATAAAAAGCATTATTTTTTTGTTTGTTCTATTTTAATGGCTCTTACATACATTAATAAAATTTTTATAGATTCTAACAAACATATTGGTACTGGCGCTTTTATAGATATAACTGAAATGAAGATTATCTTAAAAATATATGGTATATATGATCAAATAAAAATTATAAAAATATATTTTCTGAACCAGTCTAACTTTTATTATTCACACAAAACTTAATATTAGACCCTGAGACTGAATGAGATGACTCTATGGTTAAATTTAAACCAGAAATTATCTTTGCAATTTTTTTTCTATGAAAAAAAAATAAAAAGTCATCTTTTTAATATGATAAATTCCCTTTTGGGATCATTCTGTCCCATTAGCAGATCCAAATGTTTAACTGTTTTCTGAATATAGTTAAACATTTGGATCTGATGAGATGGAATGATCCTGAAAAGCATTTTATTGCATTAAAAAATTGATTCCTTTAAATTATTTTATAGTTATTTCTGTTTCAAATAATATTACATATTTATTTGTAATATGATTTTTGCACATACATATTTATTATTTTTTAAAATCATGCAAAAGTAAAATTAAATTTCTTCAGTTTTAATTAGCATATTAAATTAGAGAAGATAAATATAGAAACAGCTATTTTTACATACAAATTAATATGAAAATTAATAAATATTTTTTCTATGACTACTATAAATTCTTAAAAAAATTATATGAATTTAGATTTACGCTGGAATCTAGTTGGTCAACTAGGAGCTTGTGCTTTATTAAATGTTTTGAAGAAACATAATAAATCATTGATACATCTGGATTTGACTGGTAACCCAGAAATAAGTGAGGAAGTTCTTCAAGCAATAGGTAAATATGTTTATTTCAAATTTTTTTCTTGTCAAATATAGTATATTTATAATATATATTTTAGTGATGTGACGGATATCCGTATCCATATCCGAGGAAAAAAGATCCGTATCCGTTACTTTTTAGCGGATCTTTAACGGATCTTTTATCTTAATGAATTTCATTACTTATATGAAATTTTAAAGATAGGTAGCAATAGCACATTCGTCATTTACTATCGTAAAATATTTCCATATTACACTACTAAATTTTTTTGTCGACATTGTTTTTATTTTAATTTAACTCAACA